AACATGAAGAAGATGATGACAACAACAACGATGGGGGACAATGAGCAGTGACAATAGTAATAATAGTAACTGTAGCAATAACACTTCTGTTAATACATACTTCAGTATTTCTTTACTTTTTTACCCTTCCCATATGGTAATTTGATGCAGAAACAGATTATTAGACATTTTAGTCTTTATTGATGGTGACATTAGCAGCCACCTAATTATAAAAGGCCATTATTAAAGTTTGATTTTAATAATCTGAATAACAATTAAAATGCTCTTCTTTGGACATTTCATTCTCAAACACCATGTGCATGCACTTTGTCTGCTTAAGCACGTAGCACCTTCAGGTTGCATCCCGCTTACCTGCCGATCTGATTGGCCAGGTCTTTGGCCCTGCTGCATGTGTCCTCTGAGGAGTTTTCACTCCCCATGTAGCAGGTGGTGAAGATGCGGCTGCACAGCTCCCTCGGGTGCTGAGGACGGTAGGAGTCATCCCCTACCACTCTGTGAACATCCTCCAGTACCTGGCTGTCTGAGAAATAGAGAGAAAGAGAAAAATGGACAGAAGACAGGAAGGAGGGGGAAAAGTAGACTTTTTGTTGAGAATGAGGAGAGACAGGAAAAACAGGGAAGTGGGGAGCATGGCGACCAACAGTTCATACTGTTGTAAAGTTTACTCTGCTGCATTTCCATGCTAACAGGTTCTGAGAAATATTATTATACATCTCTCAAAGAGACCAAAGCCACAGTGTATTAGTAAGTCTCTCAGTACTTCCTATCCCTCCCTACCCTGTCTCTGACCCGTATTTGATAAGATGTAATCTCAGGGATCCCTGTCTGATAAAATGTAGTTATTCCATAACTGTCTGTACTGTAGATTGGCAGATTAACAGTCAAGAGTGTGAAAACCTATGAGAAGAACAGTCATTCTTATGCATTCACTTTTAGCCAATGAAATGAATACAGAATACCAGCTCTATTACCACCTTATCCTTTACATATGTCAAAAGAATGTGTGTGTTTACAGTCAACTGAAATGAAAGCAAAGTGAATTATACGCACTGCCGTCCTCTACAGCCTGGCAGAGCAGCACACACATAGAGTGGACAATGCAGGCGGTGGAGGAGCTGTCGACACCTCCGCTCAGAGGCAACAGAAAACCCGCCTGGGAAACAAGAACCATCACAATCACCAAAGTGAGTTCACAAGGTCAAAATCTAAATACTTCCTACTACCTACCTTTGAGTTATAAAAATCCAAATGAGACATAATTACATACAGTAGCGTGTATGTGTTCCTCCTTACCTGTCCACTTCTCCTTAGGTAGTCCCACAGCCAGCAGGCCGGCCCTAGACTGAACAACACAGGTGTCAGCAGGTGTCAGACAATAAACGTTTGGGATCAAATTAAATGTATTATGTACCTGATCTCTTCCTCTGGTGTGTGAAAGTGCCATGTTATTGGTTGGTGGGTAGGGAGGTAGATATCATCCCCATCGGACAAAGAAAAGTCAACTTTGACCCTGTGGCAAGGTTTGTGTTCACTTTCCTACAACAGAAGTATCAGCGTGAGAAGAAATGGAGAGGCAGCGTAAAGTACGGAAGCCCTAAAGGGCCATGCATTCATACATTTTATTTCCTCCGTTTTCCCGTGATAATGAGTTCATTTTCTCGAGATCTCGAGATAACGAAACTTTGTTTTCCCGAGAT